CCATTCAACTTTTGTGTCACTTTATTTTTTTCTGTTTTCTGAACTTGTTGAAACCGGCTTTTAGTCTCATTTTTTTTTTTCTGTCCTTGCTGTAAGTGATATCTGGTAAGGTTATGTACAGAAGTTTTAAAGTAGCTTTATGTGTTTTCCTCTTTAGTTAGAGGGGAAGAGAATGGAATTGAGTGTAATCAAGAGGACAGAACTTCTGACCGGGGCAAGCGAGCCCGTGTTCGAGGTAAGCTGGAACGATGGGGCGGGAAATGTTCAGCCTCAGAGGGAAGAAGGCAAGGCTGCTGGCCGCTCTAAATAGGGAGAGGGGAGTACTTTGAAAGAATAGTTGGTCTTCTGCAATCTTGTAAGTCTTTTGCTGATACCTGTGAATGAACTGTTTGGGTTGTGCAGTTCTGAAGAAACGGCCTATTTTTAGATGAACTGGGGAAGTTTTTTGTCTGCTTTTGAGATAGGGTCTTGCAGTGTAGTCCATTCGAACCTTGAGTTTACTATATAGCCCATGCCGGCGATTCTCCTGTTTCAGCTTCCTGAGTGCTGAGGTCACAGTTGCATGCCACCATGCCTTGCTGAGAAAGCAATTTTTATGAATAATTTAAAATTTGAGGGCCCGGGGATTTAGCTCAGTGGTGCAGAGCCTGCCTGCTAAGCATGAGGTCCTCCGTTTGATTCCCAGTGCTGCTGTCTCCCCCACCACACCAAAAAAAAAAAAAAAAAAAAAAAAAAAAAAAAAGAAAAAAAAAAAAAAAAAAAAAAAAAAAAAAAAAATCTTGAAAGTTTGACCTCAAGTCATGTCTTGCTGGGTGTGGTGGTACACACCTGTAACCCCAGCACTTACAGACTAAGGCAAGAGGATCATTGCAAGTTCAAGGCTAGCCTTGGCTACACAATGAGTTGAAGGCCATTGTGCATAGTGAGACCGTATCTCAAAAACAAAAAGCAAAACACAACAAAAACTAAAGTTGTGTGTTAGTCTATAATCTGTTTCTGTCCACGGTGACAGCTCCCGAGAACAAGGTGCCGCAGATGAAAAGAAAAGCAAGAGAAACAAGAAAAACAAGAGGGGCATAATTCTGCGCTCAGGGGGCTTACAGCCTCTGGGACTGAAGCCCCATTACCATTCTCAGTCACCTTTTATTGAGAAAGAACAAAGGAAGCAGCAGGGCAAATGGGAGGATAGCAACAGGTTTAGCAAGGACAATACAACTCAATTACCGCAGAAAGAAGACGTGACTTAGTTAGCCATCATGTTACCATTCCTTTGGGCAAATCTCAGCAAGCGTCTAGTGTTGTCCCTGCAGCTTTCCACGGGGCCACAGTGCTTCAGTCATTCCCTTTCCACCAGTGCCTTTGCTGGACTTCCTCGGAAACCACACAGTCATACGGCTTGGTCAGGCCTGAGGTAACACATTGAGAGAGTAACTAAAGAATGTCCTTCTCCACAGCCATGTCATACTTCTGTGATAACGTTCCCCGTCTCTGCCTCCCCAGTGCTGAGGATTGAACCCAGGGGCACCCTGCCACTGACCTCTGTATTTCAGCCCCTTTAACTTTTTGTTCTGAGTTTACGGTTTTGCTAAATTGCCCAGAATGGCCTTGATCTTTTGATCCTCCTCTTCCTCCTGCTCCTCAGCCTGCAGAGTGACAGGGATTGCAAGCATGTGCCATGGCATCTGGCATTACTACTCTTTTCCCCTCTCACGTTTCACCAGCCCTTTTTTTCTCCTCAGTTCTGGAGATTGAACTCACACAGTGCTGAGGTACATGTCCAGTGCTTTACTTACTTCGAGTCAGTATTGCTGAGTTGGCCATTTTGGCACTGACCTTGAGATCTTTCTGCCTCAGCTCAGCCTACTGAGTAGCTGGGATTACAGGTTTGGACAACTGTGCCTGGTGTCTGGCCTCTTTTTTTTTTTTTTTTAGCAAGGGAAAAATTACCCAGTTTATGCCATATGTAAGACATGGGAGGTGTAGTCTCAAAGAGGGCCAAGAAAGATAACCCTTACATAGGCCTGCTTTTGATAGGAACTTGGGCTTCGGAGGCCAAGGGAGGTGGCCTCGTCTGTGGATGCTGTGGTGGAAGATGAACACCCCAAGTTCGTGTTGCCTTGTGAAACAAATGAAGTCTCCCCAGTGACAGCCATCGTCATCTTTGTCCGAGGCAGTTGTCAGACACCCAGTGTCCTCTTTCTGTATACTGGGGGTGACTTGTGTCTAACTCACGGTAACCCCAGGAGTTACCCAAATCTGGACCAGAAATGCAGAGCACAGGATCCTGGCTCCTTTCTGAGTGTGAATCTGTAAGGGCCAGGACTCCTGTTGACAGATTGGTAGGCTTTAGCCAGGTGTAGTGATGTACACCTGTAATCCCAGCACTCAGGAGGCTGAGTCAGGAGGATCGCCACAAGCTTGAGGCCACCCTGGGCTACATAGTGAGTTCTAGGCCAGCTTGGACTATGTAGCAAGACCCTGTCTGAAAGAAAAGACTGAGTTATTAGAACATTAGGTTAGTATGCTGCCAGCAAGTTATTTCATAGCACCTCTGTGGTGATAGAGGGGTGCTGTGCAGTCCTGCTTCTAGGATCTTCCTGAAGTGTATGAGTCTTGGGTTGTAAAATCTGCAAGGAGTATGGCTATCTTAGGGCTCCCTCTGCATATTATGGTCATGGAGAAAGAGTCTACATTACGGTTCTTTCAACAGTATTCTATACTTGATCTTAGCCTAAAGGCCTAGAAGCCATTTCAACAGTATTCTAAGGAGCAGGAAAGAGATAGTGTATTGTTTCATAAAGAATAAATCTGCACCACTGCCCCCCCTTGCGATACTGGAGATTAAACCCAGGGTCTTATGCATGCTAGATGCTAGGTAAATGCTCTACTACTGAGCTACACCTGCAGCCTTTTGTTTTAGTTTTTTAAATTTTTTTTGAGACAGGTTGAGGCAGGCCTTGAATTTTACTATGTAGTCCAGGCTGGCCTTGAACTTGCAGTGATCCTCCTGCCTCAGCCTTGCAAATGCTGGGATTACAGGTTTGTGCCACCACATCTGACATACTCTTGGTATATTTATTTATTTTTTTAGTTTTTATTTTTCTCAGTCATGGTACATTTATTTTATTTTATTTTATTTATTTTTTTGGTACCAGGAATTGAACTTGGGACCTTGCGCTTGCCTGTGCCTCTGAGCTATATCCCCAGCCCAGTTATGATATATTTAGCAGCTCAAAGATAATCTAAAATTTAGTGAAGCTCACCACTTCTATTTGCAGTTTTATTTAACTTTGAATCTGCTTTATGAAGAAAAGATTAACGCATTTTTCATATGGAATTTATGGCATTGCAGAATGTGTTTATGAATTGGTAATGACACCCTCAGTATAAATATTAGGTTATGTGATACATATTTCTTTCCACATCTTTTTTATTAGTGCGTATGTGTTGTGCAGATTAATGGATTTCATTTTTGCAAACCGTGCAGCAATACTTGGATCATTTCCACACATGCACCCCCTGTCCTCGTCCTCAGTTTCACCTTTCAGGGCCTCTCTGTGTAAAATACATCCAGTTCCTGTCACCTGTTGTTGCACTCCCCTCCTCTCTGATGGTTTCCTTTCAGTTTTGACAGTTTTTTCAAGTCCATAAATTGAGAAATGTGACATTTGTCTTTCTGAGTCTGGTATAGTTTGCATAACATTTTGATCTCCAGGTTGATCCATTTTCCTGCAAAATTTTATTCTTCTTTATGGTTAAATAATACTCCGTTGTGTTTATACATTTTCTTTATTCATTCATCCACTGATAGGCATGGAAGCTTGTTCCTTAATTTTTTTAAGGGAGTTCCACACTGACTTCCATAGTGGCTGTACTAGTTTACATTCTCACCAGCAGTGTTAAAGGGTCCCTCTGCTTATCCTTGCCAGTATTTACTTATCTTCAGTATTCTTGATGGTACCCATTCTGGCTATAGCCTTAGCCCCTACTTTTAATTTTTGAATCCTGTGCAATATTTTATTGAGTCCTGGTTCCACATAGCATTTATTTATGTATGTATGTATGTATGTTTTTTTGAGACAGGGTCTCGCTATGCAGTTCAGGCTGGGCTTGAGCTCACTTTGTAGCCCAGGCTGGTCTTGAACTCGCAACAATCCTCCTGCCTCAGCCTCCCGAGTGCTGGGATTACAGGTGTGCGCCACCACGCCCGGCTCCACATAGCATTTAAAAGGATATAGTATTCTGAAACAAAATTAATTTCTGAACAGCTAGGTTATTTCTTATACTTTTATATAGTGACATTACTGTACCTTTAAATATTTGAATTTAACCCATGAGAAAAAACCATTTTTATGAAAGTGGAGTTACATATCATTATTAAATCCAACAAATAACCCGTAATCCAGAACTATTCCTGAGGATTCACATAGTTTGTTGTTGAAGAGCAGCGTTTGCCTTAGAAAATAATGTATGATGTGATCAAGTGTCGTTAGTGTCTCCTTTATTTTTTCAGGAAACAAACCATCATTTATCATAAAATACCTTTGAAACAACAGAGTAGATAATTTGGGGGGGTATTTGAACTTGTCCCTGCTTCCTGTTTATCTTCTATTTTGCCTTTTATTTGTGTACAATTGTACGTGTACTTTGAGTTTCTGGCCTCAAACTCCTGTCAGTCCTCTTGCCTCAGCCTCCGGAGTGCTGGAGTTAGAGGAGTGCGCCACTACACCCAGTGCAGACCATTTTAAAAGCAGATTTTCACTCACTAGTACTTGAATCCATTAATTCTTTTCTGAAATAACTTTAGTGGCACATTTATCGTCAGACTTCTTTGCTAAGGAAAAACTACTATAGGGGATATAAGAATAGTTCTAAATTTTAGTTTTTCTAAAAATCTTAGTACGTTTTTACAGTATATAATTTGTACATTTTTGCACTGTAATATCTGCATACGTCTTGAGTTGGTACATGTATATGACACATTATATCTTTTCTTTATTACTGAATTCCTGGAATATTTGTTGTCATTAGTTTTATTTAGGCTGCTTTGAGTTTGGGGTGGGGGATCTTCCTTTTCCTGTAGGAGTACACCCTGGCCCAGGGACATAGAGGCGTAGCTTGCTTGTCTGGCTCCCTGAGCAACAGCAGGCCCATAGGTGTTCTGCTCTTATGTATGACCTGAGCAGATCTCTGGGCATAGGGATAGCAAGATCTGTATATCATTGAAGCAGCCCTCGAAATTCAAGGAATTTCAGTACCAGCTGTAATGGTGCTTACCTGTAATCCCAGCACTTAGGAGGCTGAGGCAGGAGGATCACTGTGAGTTCAACGCCAGGCTAAATTAGAGTGAGACCCTGTGTCAAAAAAACTAAAAAGAAATCACGGGATTTCATCAGTGTAAAAAACTTCAGAAGCTGGGCATGATGGTGCATGCCTGTAATCCCAGCACTTGGAAGGCTGAGGCAGGAGGATTGTTGCACGTTCAAGACCAACTTGGGCTACAAAGTGAGTTTAAGACCAGCCTGAACTGCATAATGAGACCCTGTCTCAAAAAGACCAAAACAAAGCAAAACAAAATCTCACAACTTCAGAACTAGTCAGTTCCTTTTAATCTCCATGGTACAACCTGGGATGTGTACATAGTTTCTGGCACAGCTGGCTGTTAGCAAACCTTTTCTTTCTTCTTTTTAGCGGTGAAGGGAAGGGATTGCTTTCTACCTTCTTAGATCAGACTCACTTAACCTGTTTTGATTCTCTTTAGATTGCACATTTTTGGGGTCAGGGAAGTGTCTGCAGCTAGGATCTGCCTCACTGGGTGGTTGGTTGGCCTTTATGTTTGGGTCTTTCGTTTTTTTAAGGGCCGCAAGCAACTTTTGCATTCTGGCTCTCAGAAATTCTATTTAAAATTTTTTGAGGAGGCATAAACACTGATGTCCTTTCCCTTTTTCCCCCCTCTCCTCTTCCCTTCCCCCATTCTCCTTCCTAAGTTAATATCAGGGTAGCTAGTTATAGCATCGAGGAACCAGCAAATTCTATTCCTGATTAGGAATGCTAGTGCAAGACATAATCATGATGCTGTTTGTGTGATGAGTGTGGGATGGCGGGGTATGATTGTTTAGAATATATGTAGTATTTTTTGTATGCTGTAACATTTTTGTGTTTTAAAAGGATTTGGACGAGGAAGAGGAAGAGGGGTAGGACGGTTCTCAGGCCAGAGCATGGGGTAAGTCACAGCCGTCCTGTTTTCAGTTACTTCCTTCCCTGTGCCTCACTTTGTTATAGTTGCCCTTCCTGTTTTCTCTCCAGTTTATTTATCTTTATGAATCAGATGTTTTTTATACTTGAAGAGTGTTACTAACAAGTGAAAATAGTACAGCTGGAATTAACTGGTTTTTCAGTAGGCGTTGAGCGTGGTTTCTAGCCTTTGCACTGTTTGCGCTGTGGGCTGGGTAAGTACCTCGGGATGGGTTACTCTGTGTATTGTAGGGTGTTTGGCGACAACCCTCTCCTGTCCTTACTCATGCCAGTTGTGCTCCTGGGTGACAGTCAGAATGTCCAGACATTGCTGCATGTTCCTTGGGTTTGGAGTGTGTGTGTGCACGCACATGCTTGTGTGCATGTTTTACACGTAGTTGAAAGCCACTGCATAAGAGCTGGTAAACCCAGCATTTGTCTTTGCAAGTACACGCAGTGCTTGCCCATGTAAAAGTGATACTCTGTCCTGAGTTATAATAGCAAAGATGAGTATACTGAGTATGTGTTATAATTAATGGGTTATTATTGTTTCTGTTGTTTTCCGTTCCATCCTGTTGCTTTTAAAATGTAAGCTTTTACTGGATTCTTAGAAAAATTGTTTTTAAAAGATCTTATGGCCAGGTGTAGAGGTACATGCATACAGGCCCAGCTACCAGGGGCAGGAGCAGGAGGATCACAGTTCTAAGAGTAGCCTGGGCAATTTAGCAGGACACTGTCTCAAAACAAAAATTAACAAGGATTGGGGATGTAGCTCAGTGGTAGAGCACCCCTGAGTTTGGTCTCCAGTACTCCATCAAAACAACAGAAATCTTAGAGAAGCCCTGTATTGAAGGTAGGAAGTTAGCTCCACAAAGCCTTTGTCTCCATAACTTTCAGGGAAGCACTCTTGGAAGCAGTGCCTCCTGGAAGTGATAGTGTCCCCTGCCATTTTCCTTTTTTACCTGAGCTCTCAGGAAAAAGGAGGAATGAAAATACAGGGAGGGCTGGGCTTCATGGCATGCACCTATAATTCCAGTACTCTGGAGGCTGAGGCAAGAGGATTGCCGTGAGTTTGAAGTCAGCTACTGCTATATAAGTGAGTTCAAGGCTACATAGTGAGACTTTGTCTCAAAAAAAAGGAAGAAAGGAAGAAAGAAAGAAAATATAGGGGGAAACCTGGGAAGATCACTCAGATATATATCTAAGCTTAATATTGTGAAACTAGTTTATGGATTTTTCAGTTTACTTCATGTTTTGTGAAGGGTTGTATCTACTTCAGCCCGTGTGAGACCTGTGAATCCTGATTCCTTGTATGTGTTCTGTTGTTCAAGTTAGGGTTTTAATGAAAATGAAAAGTAGTAGCTGGGCATGGTGGCATGCTGAAGCAGGAGGATTGCTGTGAGTTCAAGGCCAGCCTGAACTATACAAATGTGATTCTACCTTACAGAAAGAAAAAAAAAAAAGAAAAAGAAAAAGAGGGCTAGTTTAGTCACTCTGTTGTTGGGACAGAATACCCAGCACCCTCACTTACAGAAAAGGTTATACTGGCTCATGGTCTCAGCGGGTTCAGTCCGTGGCTGGTCCAAGGCAGAAGTGGCCTGGCCCAGGGGCCTGCTGGAGGGGCGTGGCAGAATTGGTGTGGTTGAAGGAGGGGCGTGGCAGAGAAAGCTGATTGACCCATGGCAGCCAGGAGGCTGAGATCAAAGGGAGGAGCCAGGGTTAAGAGTACACCATTCCAGGGTCGTTGCAAGTTCGAGGCAGCCTGAACGGCGTAGCGAGGCCGTGTCTCAAGAAGACCAAAACCAAAAAAAGTCTGTGCCATTCCAGGTCATGTCCTTGTACCCTCTGCACTGAGGGACCCTTGTAACAGCACATTTGGCTGTGAACTCATCAGCGGATTAACCCACTAATGAGAAGAGCAGCCCCTTGATCAAACCACTTTTTATTTTTTAAAATTTTTTTTTTTTTTTTTTTTTTCCCCAGTACTGGGAATCGAACTCACGACCTCGCGCTTGCCAGGCAGGCGCTGTGCCTCTGAGCTAAACCCCAGCCCCAATCAAACCACTTTTTAAAAACTCTACGCTCTGAACATGAGACTCTGAGATGTTTCACATTTATGTCCTGACAGAAGGGTGAACAAAAATACCATCTGTATCCATTTTTCTGTGTATAAAGGAGGATATAATTTTGCTAAAAGAACTTTAAAGCCAGGCATGGATTCAGACTTGGGGAGAAAAGACTTGTTTGCTAGTGATGTCTTTGTAGTCAGTGGAACTTTCCATTAGTGCCCTGTTTGGCTTGAAGAGATTCCAGAACTCCAAGACTACCTTAGGATGCAGAGGACCACATTGTAAAGAAAATGAGGCCATCATATGAGATTATAGAGACCATTCCTAGGCAACCTCAGCTTTTTAGAAGCTCTGTGTCCCAGTGGCTGAAAGAATTCATTACAGGAAAGAATGGAAGGAAGGGTTGTTGGAGAGACTAGGCTTGTTTGGTGGGGAAGATCACGTTCAGTTACTTGTGGCTGGCTTCATTTGCTTTTATTCTTTCTGTATTTCAAACTCCAGGACGTTTAATCCTGCAGACTATTCAGATTCCACATCTACAGATGGGTGTAGGACAAAAGCAGTTTGGGAAGCTGCTCAGAATGGTGCAAATGAAGAATCGCGTAAGTATTATCTTTTTGTCCGAAAGGGGTACTTTTTCTTTCTTGCGGTGTTGAGGGTCAAACTCGGGGTTTGGGGCATGCTGGGTAAAATGGTCTGCCACAGAGCTATACCAGCAGTCCACAGATGGGTGTTAAATGTGGGAGTGTCAGGAGTCTTACACTGTCATGCACAGATGAAGCCTAAGTGTACTGATGGACACCACTCTCATGTTACTTTTATTTGTTTTTTACCTTAAACATGTCACTGATAGCTGAGTGTGGTGGCAGGTGCCTGTTTCCAGCACTCAGGAGGCCAAGGGAAGAGAATCACTAGAGTCAGTGAGCGCCCCCTCCCCAAGTCTCATTGATGATGAAAAATTAGACTTTTCATGTTACACCGTGAGACACTGCATAATCTGCACAAATCAGTGTAAAGCCATACTGCTGTTGCAGTGTGCCACAGAGACAGTGCATAGAATTTCTCATGAGATGTTTTACTGAAAGTACTTAGCATTCTCACTGGTGGACACCAGAATTTGGCTAGATGAAGTGTTAGATGATAGGTTGTATTGGGGCATGATTGCTTTTGTAGGTTTTTCTATATCTTCCTGTTACCAGATTATTTTTGGAAATTCACTGGCAAATTTTTGGTAACACTTAATTACATAGCGCTCTTTAGAGGATTGATTCATGTACTTAATATACATTAAGTACTGAGATTGTATTTATAAAAATATAATTTAGCACTTCATAAATGAAATATAAGCCAGGCATGGTAGTGGACACCTATAATCCCAGCACTTGGGAGGTTGAGGCAAGAAGATTGAGTTCAAGGCAAGCGTGAACTACACACCAAGACTCTGTCTCAGAAAGCAAAACAGAGATATAACCCAAAATGCGAAAATAATGATCAATAAATTATCAAAAAACAACATTCGTAACATAAACTCTGGCCCAAAAATAAAACACAGCCACCATCCCAGAAGCATAATTCATGAACTAGAAATAGATATACTGTACAGAGGCTTAATAAAAATTATATGTAATTATTGGGAAACACTAGTAAAATTGATGTTTCTTGTGAGACCGGTAACTGGAAAGTGAAGAAGCTTAAATAACTGGTTTTAGGAAGCCCGGTGTGGTGTAGTGCGTGGGTATAACCCCAGCATTCTGAGAAGCCGAGGGAGGAGACAGATTTGAGCCCAGCATGGGCAGTTTAGTGACTTAGTGAGACCCTGTTTCAAAATACAAAGGGCTAGGGGTGTAACTCAATGTAAAGCTCTGGGTTCAATCCCCAGTGTGAAACGACAAACAACAACAGAAAAAACAAAAGCAGTTTAGGAATGAGAAAATCAATCTTTGATATAGGTTGTATAGATACTAGAAGATGATAAGAATATACTTTGTCAATAAATTTAGTGGTGAGCTGGGCATATAGCTCAGCGGCACAATGCCTGCCTGGCAGTTGTGAGGTCCTGAGTTTGATTCCCGGCTCCAAAAATAATTAAATAAA